ACGGCCCGCCTGGCGACAGGGAGCCTCCGTGGGCATCACAGCTTCAGTGACCTAAGCACAGGAGCGCCTGACTGGCACTGAAGTCTTGTCTGGGTCAGCAGCCACAGACTGTACGTCACCAGTACTGAAATGGCACATGTCAGATGGCACAGGCACTGCTCAGCCTTTATTGACCGCTGTTCAAAAACCCACGCTGATTTCCAGCTTGGTAGCTGTAACTGAAACGTTTTCAGTCCCTGAGCCATGACAGAGGTGAGGTGGCTGCAGACAGCTCTGTGCAAACCCTGACCCTGCTGCTGCACGCCCACAGTTCCGCACGGGCAGGACACGCTCTGTACAACCCCATCACTCTTGGCCTTATGTCCCTGACCATCTAAATTTTCCTTCATTCTGGGTATCTGTCACACTTTTTCAAGCCACTTGCACGCTGAAGCTGAACAAGAAAAAACACCAAACCTTTCTAACCAAGGAGAACCTACAAAGAGCCTGAAACTAGCCTCTGACAGCTTCCCACCGTGGTTCAGAAAGGAGAAAAGGCAATCTTGCACCCGTTCCCTGGTGTGCTCACCTTCAAAACTCAAAAAGCACCAGGTCCCATGGACAGTCCATGACTGTCCCAACAGCCAGTGCTGCAATAACTTTCAGCGGCTTTTAAATACTACCATTCCAAGGGCTCTGTAAATCTACTCACTCTCCATTCAAGAAGTGCCCTCCCTGTTCCTGATTTAGGGGAGAAATTAGAGCCGTTTAAATTACCGGGCGAGAACTCTGAGCACACACTGCGGCAGCCCCTGCAGGTACCCAGCACAGCTCAGCCCCCAGCAGAGAGGCAGCAGAACTGGGCATGGGAAGAAAACGCCAAGAGGAATCGAAGGGAGGCAGACAGTGGTGAGACCCTCATCCTCCTGCAGCCAGAAGGGAGAGAGGTGGGAATCTCCGTTCTTCTCTCTGGCTTACAGGGAGATGAGTATGTTACCTATGATGGCAACATGGAGGACAATACCCTTCTGCAGGGTGCGAGAACAGGGTTAGATCTGCCATAAGTGTGTCGCTCTTCTTCACAAAGGATGGAGATGTTTGGGGCTCAGATTTCTACCCAGGGGAAAAATCAACCAGTCGCAATGTCTAAGCTGGCCTTAGAAATCTCAAGTTGTGGAGACTGCACAAAGAGGCAGACGAATCCCATGCTTCCAATGCCTCACTAAAGCCTCCCTGGTGTGACTTAAATACGTTATCTCTTATCCTGATCCCAGTAGCTCTGGAGCATAACGCCTTCCTCCTTCCCTCAATCTTGCAGCCACCTTACCTTTAACATGCATCTTCTCCCATCCACCCTTAAACTAAATGAATCCTGTCCCTTAACTCCTTCCTCACAGACCATGCTTTCTAAGTCCTCTGGACGTTTTCCAGATCATCCTCCAGCTGAACAGTCCCTCAGGTTTCATCAGCAAAGACTCTGATTTGTATTTACTCTGACAAACAGGTTGTCTTCAGCTAACAAGTCATCAACGTTAAAAAAAAAACAGACCACCACCAAAACAAAACACGACCAACAAACTTAAGAGAAAACAAGGAAAATCCCCCCCAATTTTGAAGTTATTCACTTGATACAGCAACAACAGCTCTTCCCAAGCAGCAAAAGGCAGTTCCAGGGAAAGCTGCGGGTCCCCTCCCTTTCCCAGATAAACTGGGAGTAAAGCTCCCAGTTGCTCTTTAGCAGCGCAGCGTGTTCACTGTGCCCGTGCGGCGTGTTCACGTTCAGGCATGACACAAGCTTCAGGGAAGCATCCTCACTGATAACAGCTCTGCACTGCCTCAACCACAAACCTATTGCTCATGTCTCC